CCACGTCTTAAATGTTAAAGGGGTCAACTCTGTCCACTGATGGGGTGGAGGGCAGGTCTGTGCCCTGCCCATTGCTAGTACTGACGGGGAGGCTGTTTTTGCAATTCTGGAAACCCACTCATCTAGGTAAAAGCCACATCCCCCGATAAAGGTCCACTGTCCTTACTCATAATTCCAAAATTCCCAGTGTTGAGAACAAAAAATTTCCCCCAGTTCATCTCTGCAGCCAAAGCGGAAGTGACCTGAGTCCTTGGTAACAAAACTGGCCTTAACTGACATAAGCTACTTAGGCTTTATTGTGCCCCTTAGAGCTTTGCGTCCCACACAACAGCCAGTAATCCCACGTGTCTAGGAAAATGTAAATAGATTTCAATGAAATACTAAACATTCAGATTCTTAGTCAGACTAACCACATTTCAAAACTTCAAAAGCCTTTTGTAACCAGTGCTACCATATAGGACAAAACAGATGAAGGCCCTTCCAACACTGTTGAACATTCTTTTTTTTTTTTTTTTTTAATATATTATATTCATTTTTCACAGAGAGGAAGAGAGAGGGATAGAGAGTCAGAAACATCCATTAGAGAGAATCATCTTGCCTCTTGCACACCACCCACTGGGGATATGCCTGCAACCAAGGTACATGCCCTTGACTGGAATTGAACCTGGGACCTTTCAGTCTGCAGGCTGACGCTCTATCCACTGAGCCAAACCGGTTTCGGCCACTGCTGAACATTCTATTGTACAGCACTGAGAGGGAGTACATGTTTCCTTAGAGACCTTTTCTACTTGACTATGGGATATTACTCCAGACCCATATCATAAGCAGTGTACGCACCATTATCTCTGATCTCAAATATTTGGAATTCCAAAATCACATCTGGCACAAAGGATCACAGATAGAACGTGTGCCATCTGTTTTTAATCAGTAATAAAGGCAATATTTTGGTCTTCCTTCTGATTTAGACTTTACCAGATACAGACTGAATGTTCACATGGTCCAAAGTCATATAATATATTGAAGCCCTAACCCCAAATGCCTTGATATATATATTTAAATATATTTTATTGATTTTTTTACAGAGAGTTAGAAACATGGATAAGAGAGAATCATCGATCAGCTGCCTCTTGCACACCCCCTCCTGGGGATATGCCTGCAACCAAGGTAGGTGCCCTTGATTGGAATCAAACCCGGAACCCTTCAGTCTGCAGGCCAATGCTCTATCCATTGAGCCAAACCTGTTTCAGCTTGATATTTTGAGGTGAGACCTTTGAAAGGTAATTAGGTTTAGGTGAGGTCATGAGGGTGGAGCATCCATTAAGCGATTAGTATCTTCCAAAGAAATGGAATTAGGAAGATCCAAACTCCTTTCTTTTTCTCTGCCACCTGAGGACACAATGAGAAGATGACCAGCTAAGAACCAGGAAGGGGGCCTTGATCAGGAACGGAATCTGCCAGCACCTTGACCTTGGGCTTGAGCTGAGAAATAAGTGTCTATTGTTGAATCCTCTCCGTCTATGGTATTTGGTTATAGCAGCCTGAGCTAAAACATTACCTTATTCTAAATTGGTTAAAAATGGAGGCAGGGAAGAGGAATATTGTTTATCAGGCCTCCTTGAATTCCAGTAATAGGAAGAGCATTGTGCAGACTCCCCTCCTCTGCATGTTCATGGACAATTCAAGCGGCTCACAGTGGAAGATCCATGAACTGGGACAATGCTACTGCCTCTCCCACACTGGTTCTTCTTTCATTGGTAGGGATTGGTCTGATGCAGATCAGACCTTTTAGACAGAACTACGCCCACTAGTGTTCAGAACATTCTGAAATTTTCCTGAAGGCTGGGTCAGGACAGACAAAGTTCCCTTCCTACTATTTAGTTTCTCTTGGATGTCAGACTTTAAGAGTAAGGACAGTGCCCTAACTGGTTTGGCTCAGTGAATAGAACATTGGCTTCCGGACTGAAAGGTCCCAGGTTCGATTCTGGCCAAGGACATGTACCTTGATTTTGGGCACATCCCCAGTAGGAGGTATGGAGGAGGCAGCTGATCTATGTTTCTCTCTCATTGATGTTTCTAACACTCTACCCCTCTCCCTTCCTCTCTGTAAAAAAATATCAGTAAGATATATTTAAGAAAAAAAGAGTAAGGACAGCACTGATCCACAATATTAAGCTTATATTCTTGTCTACATGGAGGTACACTATCTCATAGGAATTTGGCATAAACCTAGCCTTGGGCCAAATAGTACTAAGATGTTTTGAGTTCCCTGTAGGCTCTACCTTATTTCATTTTGCTATTATGATTTCTGGCAAGTAGCTTAACCTGGTGTAGCCTCAGTTTTCTGAACTGTAAAATAGGGACAACACTCCAGGGCCACCATCCTCACTGGGTTTGGGGATGGAAATCAAAACTAAAATACTGAATGAGCCAATATATGAGAAAGTAAGTTTTCCATTCTAAAAATATCTTTATTACTGATGGGAAATTCCACACAGCCTTGTGAAACAATACCTTTAAACAATCATCTAAGTGAGAGAAACCCTGGCAGGATTCTTTAAAGTTCTGCTATGAGTTCCACAAAAAGCAGCTTTTATTTAGAGCATAAATTGGATTTCCACTTGTAAAGGAGAGCATGAGGTAGTGTTCTTTGTCTTAATTTGACAGTGGAAAGGTTCTTGAGTATTGGCCAAGAATCTAATATTGGATTGTACCAACACACACCACTGGCTTCCTGAATTGTATCCATAAAGGTCTCATGGTAAAATGCTGCCTCTGAGAGAGCCTTTACCAAGAGTGCAAGCTTTCACATTCAGCTTGTAAAAAATACCCATCTGTCTTCTCTGTTCAACATACCTTCAGCTCCCCTGATATCCTATACAAGCTTAGGTCCTGCTCCTATTGAAACTCCACAGGTAAGCTTTACATTTCTGATCTTTTTCTAAAACGATATATTTTTATTGATTTTAGAGAAGGAGAGAGAGAAATATCAGTGATGAGAGAGAGTCTTTGATTGGCTGCCTCCTGCATGCCCCTACTGGGGATCAAGCATGCAACCAGAGTATGTGCCCTGGACCAGAATCGAACCTGGGACCCTGCAGTCCCCAAGCCAACATTCTATACACTGAGCCAAACCTGCTAGGGTCACACTGCTGATCTTTTAAGATCAATGTGCAAGTTGCTCAGCTCAAACAGTGACCAGGAGACATGACCAACTCTCTCCGGTTTGCTTTACTGAGATTAATAGATGCTAAAGTGTTTATTTCAAGAAACTAGAGAATTTGAAGAATTATGTGGACAGACTTAAGAAAAATGAAATTCATCTTGAAAATTAATTGATTATTTAGCTGCCTCCATTTAAATTCATTATTGGTTTTTATCCTAGAAATTACAAATGTAATGAAAAAATTAACTATGGATGATAGTAACAATTTCACTGTGGTTTAGAAGCAACTTATTTAAACAAAAAAAATAATTTACCTAGTTTTACATCAGCAGATATAAATACTTTGAAATTTTTTTTCCATTCTCAGGAGCATTGAAAATTTTAAGACTAATCATTTTCTAACAATTCTCTCAAACACTGACAATGTTTTAGCAATATTTTTGAAAACAACAATGGAAACTTAAGTTGCAGAATTTCTTAATCCTTCAACAGTCTGCCTATCTCCATGGTTTCTTTATCAAGATTAAAGTAAAAATTCTGGAGACATATTTGATGAAAAAGGATTTTGAGTGTACTGAAGCTTTCTAAAACCTTCCTTGCTTATTAAATTCTGTGAAATTGAGTTGTAAACTGATGAAAGGCCAGTCAGTTCCACTCTAACAAGTACAAGTACTTCTAAAACTAATTAGAATTAGTTTCTGCCAGTGGTTTTATTTTTTTAACATGATTTTTTTTAATGAAGTTTTTTTTTTTTCTTCCCTTGGTCCTCTCTGTATGCTTTTAACAAGCAATCAGAGCCTCGGGTTTTCAAATTATTCTCTATCCAATGATGTTTGTCAACTTTCTTTTTTCCTTCTACTTTTTTTTTTTTTTTGTCAGGCTCCGGACTTATTATAGAGTGCAGGAAAAGTTCCCTTCTTATCTCACAAGGAGTCTATTCCAGGCTCCTAAAAACTCATCTCCTGGCTGAACATTTATTGTTCTGGAAAAAAGCACATCCTGCAGTGTTATCTAATGCATTCTACTTTTTCTTAACTTACTGAGAAAGCAAGTTAATATCCAGGATGAGAAATAAAAAAGATGTGATGAACAAGGGACTCACCACCCAGCACTCGGCCGCTGTGATTTGTGAAAGTAATAAATCAACAAGTTTGCACTTAGCGCTGGCCAAGGTACCCAGCCTTAAAAGCAGTGACACCACTGAGAGGCCAGGCGCTGGACCGGGGACCTCAAGCCCAGCGTCCAACCAGAGCTGGGCTCACCCTGAGCGCTCTGCCTGGAAACCAGCTCCCGGCGGATCCTAGGACCCCAAGATCTTCCCAACCTTTGCGCGGCCTTCCGTTCACAGGGGTCTCCTAGGCAGAAAGGGTGCCATCGCACCCCCCAAGAGGTGAGTCTTGGGGAACACTTCACCTCGGCCTGAACAACAGCAAAGGAGGGTGCCCTATTCGGGAGCCTGGCGCGGAGAACTACTCCTTACACCAGCAACAACCTGGGAGAAGAACCCGCTAAAAGGCCGGGAAAAAGGTGGCAGTGGCAGGTTTGGAGCTTCCAGAAGCCTTCGCAATGTCCGGGACGTTGCTTAGCTCGCTCAGAGGTGTGAGGCGGGATAAAATGGGTGTTCTAGGGGGAGTCGGCAGGCAGAGGGGATGAGCGAGGTGGGTAAAAGTGATTCCAACGAAATTCCCACGCGCTCAGGGCAGCCAAGGCTTCCCGCTGGAGGAAGGAAGCGCGGGGGGCGCACGGCGCGCCCGGTTCGCCGATGATCCCGCCGCGCGGACGGACAGAAGGACAGAGGGACAGGCAGATCCGAGCCAGGAGGGACGGACTGACTCACCTTCGGGGTTGGCGCTGATGAAGACCCGGACGCTGCGGCCGGCGGGCACAAGGTGGGAAGGCAGGGCGGTGAGGTTCCCGGAGAACGCCGCCCGCCGGAGCGCCGAGTCGCGGGGGCAGGGCAGCTTGGTGCCCGCGCCGGCCGGCCACATCGCCCTTCGGAGGGACAGCCGCCGCCGCCGCCGCCTGCTGCTCCTCGGGGTCCTGCCCGCGATCCGATCCGCGGGACGGCGAGATCGATCGATCCTGATCTCCGCAGGCAGCACGGCTCAGAGCCGCTCCGAACCCGAGGCGCCGCGGGCGAGCTCCCCGGCGCACCCCGCCAGCCGGCGCGGCGCGGCCATCTGGACGGACCTGAGCTCGGGCCTCGGTCGCCGCCGCCTCCTGCTGTCTCCCCGGGAGCCGCCTGCGCCCGCGGCCGGAGTCCGGTGCGGCAGCGCCCGGAGCGGGAGGAGCGGGAGCCGGAGGGCAGCGCGCCCGCGGCTACGAGCGCGGCGCCCCTTTGCGCCGGGAAGCGCCCGCGCCCGCCGCCGGGTCCGCGGCCATCTCCCCGCCCGCGCCCGCCGCCGCCGGAGGGAGGAGGGGTCCGTGCAGGAGGCGGGACGAGCGGGCGATGGGAGCGGAGGAGCAAACTTTATCGGAAAAGGTGTCCGGGAGTTTGTCGGGAGCTGCCTCCCTGTAGGACCGCGGGGCCGGGGCCTCAGCTACCAGGGGGCCACCCGGGGGCTTCACTAGGGATGATGATCCCGGGCGCTCGCGGCTGCCTCCTTGGCGGAAGGCAGGAAAGACATTAGCCCGAGACTGCTGCTGCTCTGCCCGCTCTCCTAAAGGTCACGGGCGCCCTGAGGGTTTTTGGGAATGCACGCGTGCCGGCGGCGTCTGCGCGTCTTTGCCCCAGCGCCGGGAACACGGCCTCAAAGTTGCACCCTCGCGCCTAGTCCGGACCCCGGGGTGGGAAGCATCTCATGGCAGAGCCGCTTCGGGCGGGCGTCCCGGAGGGAGTGGCACCGCTGCCCGGTCGCTGGGGGCGCAGGGGGTCCGGTCCTTCAGCTTCTCCCGCTCCGGACGCGCAGCGGAGCCGCGGTTTTTATAGGGGAAGCTGCGCGGCTCACGTGCTCGCCGCCGCGTGGTCCTGGAACCTCTCCAAAAGCGGATCTCTGCGGGGAGCCCTCCGGGGGCCTCTGAGGCTCCAGGGGGCGGGGGGGTGTCCTTCCTGCGCCCACCCAGGCGCACTTCTGGGCCATTCCGCCCTCCCAGGGTTCCCGGGCCTCGGCCTGGAAGATGCGGGGCGCCCTGCGCCGTCCAGCCCAAAGGCCCTGCAGAATGCAGGTGGTCAGGGACTGGGACAGGGTGCGAGAGATCAAGTTGGCTTTGGGCGGATGTTTCAAATTCATGCTTAGCGTGAGTTGGTTCTACCTGACGCTACCCTAAGGTGCACGTCCCGAGTGAAGTGAGATGTAAGTGGACCCAGCTGTAACTGCCATCTCTGGGCCACACTCCATGGCACCTATGGAAACACTGCAAATCCCAGGACAGGAAGGACAACAGGGAGGAGAGGGGGGAGGGGGGGAAGGGAAGAAGGAATGTTTGGTTTCTTAATTGGAGTTTGTTCTCCAAACCCTTTCTTTTGAGCTTTAGGGCAGGAGCTCAACTTGTAGAGAGAGAGGAAGAGCAGCTTTCCCAAATCTTTGGGATTGGGGAAGGGGTGGGTGGGCGCAGGGTGAAGGCAGCTGTGAGTTTGATCCTTCCACCTGGCGCTGCTGCAGGCCTGCATTTCCCCCGGGCCCTGCTGGTGGCAGTGAAGGCCTAGGCACTGCTGCTTATTTTGCTGCCCCGCCCCATCCCCAACACACACTTTCTGGAGTAATCTTTTTGGAAGAATTGTGTCTCTGGGTTTTTAAGGCTGCCTCGCTGCTGCTGAGCATCGGGGGCCAGACAGCAGCGCTTACTTTGTAACACTGTGCTGCAAGCAACGAAGCCTGGTCCCGCCCAGGCATGTGTTCAACTGATTCCATTTAGCAAATTATCTCCTACTCCTGCACAGCCTCATTACTGTCAGGCGGGAACTTCTCTGGCAGGAAGGAGGTCTCCGAAAGACCTCCCGAGGTCCCAGGAGGTTTGGGCTGAGAGCTCTGGAACAGGTTAGGCATATACAGTCTCTATTACAGTATCATCTTTTATGAGTATACTGTACCTATTACTGGGAAAAGAGCCAGGACCACTTTCTGCTTGATCTCAATGTTGTTTATGAGAGTCTGATAGGACCCGCTATGAATTTGGTGGTTTCTCTCTTAAAATTCACTTTAGTATGTATGTCTCCTGACCTTTGCTTCAGATCTCAAAATGTTGCACTTCCTGAGGATGACTTTGGGATTTTTTGGCAGCCTCTATAACCTAATTAACTGTTCTAGACAGGCCGAAGTTTAGGATCTGCCAGTGTCATTGAAGACCAATGATGCAGAGAGAGAATTTTACGTTAACCCGAACTTTAAAAGGCTCCCTGCAGAGCCGGTTTCGCTTCAGGTAGAGCAGGCTCCTGTCTTTGGTTTATCAGGGAGGTTTCTACCTGAGGATACCTGATCACCCACCCACCCGCCCCCTTTACACATATATACATTCTCCTACCTCTTTCCTTCCATGTCCCTTGCTAACATCTGATTTTCTAAAGCCAGAGATTCATTCATTAGCATGCAGATGGCATAGGGAGGAGTCACCCTTGGAGGTAACACTTTGTTATGAATTAACTAGATTTATTTCCCACCCCAAGGAACTGTTGGCTATCGGAGGGAGTGAAGAAATTGAGAAGGGAAGGGAAGGAGCAGGCACAAATGTGGGAGGCAGGCCCAGACTTAGAGCTTTGCTTTTATATCTGTTTAAACACTTTACATTTTCTCCTCTTAGGTAAATATTGAATGTGTTATTAGGACTCCCATTTTTATGTCCCATGAGAAAACCAAGGTTCAAAAAAGAGAAATGACTTGTGCAAGGTGAATGCTAGAGCCAGGATCCAGATATTATGGCCCGTCCCAATACTCTTTGCAACACAGCTCCTCTATATTCTAATGTTGTCTAGGTCTGGCCTTGGCTGACTCTTTAATAACCTGGAAAATAGATGTTCAGGTGTGGAAGTCTGGTTACCACTTCTGCTTTCCCAATAGGAAGGAAGGTCTGTGTCCACAGGATCACATAGGACTAGACTCTTCTCACTTTTAAAAGTTGGTTGGATGATAAAGACTGCCAAATCCTTGTTTTCTTTGGGTCCTGTTCTTTCCTCATAAGACCACAGACAGACCCATTTCATCACTGCAGTTGGTTGAGCAATTTAAAGCATCTAGAAATAGCCATAGCTGGTGTGGCTCAGTTGGTTGGGCACCAAAAGGTTGCTGGTTCAATTCCTGGTCAGGGCACATGCCTGGGTTTCAGACTTAATCCCCGGTAGGGGGTAGGCAGGAGGCAACCCATCAAGGTTGCATTTTCACATCAATGTTTCTCCCTCTCTCTCTCTCTCTCTAGCTCTCTCTAAATATCAATAAGAAATCTTTTTTAAAAAACACCTAGAAATCTGTATATATAAAAGCCAAGCAACTGGAATGGCAGAACAATCAGAATGACTACTATGACATGCACTGTAGCGGCCAACTGGCCCAATGGGGGCCCCAATCAGCCTCCCAAATCTCCTGTGACCCCTCTCCCTGGCCACCTGGCCCCCTGATTAGTTCTCCCCCCCCCAAATCCCGATTGGGGACAGGGCTGGCTGGCCAACCTCCCGCGTTCCCTGCCCCCCCCCATCAGCCCAGCCCCAAATTGGACCCCATCAGAGTCAGTGGCCGGACCCACTGATGCACAGATTTGTGCACCGGGCCTTTAGTAGGAGAATAAAAGTACATGGAAAATGGGCTACAGATCCTAAATGTGACAAAAACAGATATTCCCTTCTCCATTCTCTCCCTCACCCCAACTAGCAGGCCAGAGGATCACAGAGAGGTCTCCTATCTTTATAAAACATTGCCACCAGCTCTTGCAAAAGCAGGCTGTTCAAAGATAAGCTCACTGTTAGGTTCATATTACTCATGGAGCTAGAAGAAACATTGCGATCATGGAATCCAACTCCTCCTGATTTATAAATAAAACCCCTCCCAAAGTAAAGTAATTTTTAAAAACAGGAGGAAGGAAAACAAACAAATAGTAATATTGACATAGTGAACATCTGTAAGCTAGATACTGCATTAGGCTTTTAATGGGTACATCATTTATTACTACTATATCTGGTGTGTGGATCCAACACTTCTCATTATTGTTTGTGATGTATGTGCCGGTTGCCTGATCCAAAGTCCATGATATGCACATGGTATCTCACCTAGTCCCTTCCCTGCAATAGTTTGTAACTTTTCATCCATCTGAGAGTTGTATCACATGTCCAATTCATTCTTCTTAGATGATGGGGTGACGCTCATAAAGTGTATGACCCAAGCCCCTGTGACTGACTCGGCCTCAGAAGAAAGAAGATCCATCACCCACTCTGCATTTACCTGCAGGTACACTCACATTTGTGTACATCGGATAGCCTGGCTCAGCTGCTTCTGGACCAGTGGACCATATTTGTCCTACTGTGGATGGAAGTGGAAATAGAGCCCCCGGTATCATAAAGATGACCAAATTAATACACCTTACTACTTCAGGAAATCTAGCCAAGGAGGCCAAGGATGTGTTTTGTGTTTCTCAAACTTGAAGAAGAGTACCAGATTTAATATTACATTGTTGTTCACCCTGACTCTCTGATTTGAGTGATAAATATTTGAATCTGCTTTGCTAATGTGAGAAGTGGATTACACAGGGTCAGTCGAGTAAGGACTCCACTTTCCAAAGTTCCATCTCAGGATAGAAGCTAGGCTGTCAGGAACCCACATACTTGTTTACAAAATGGAAATTTTCAGTTTATGTGAGAATTTGTCAGCATAGCAATATGCCAGCAGAGACTGTTGAGTCAGAGGTGTCTGCAGTATGATAGAATTCACAGTAGCTCAGTTTTAAATAAAGTTACACCTTTCTGCAATTGCTATCTGATGCTTTCATGACTCAGAAATGCTAACTTTATATCCACCCCCTTACAAGGCTGTTTGATATATTTTTTAAATCTGTCTGTCTCTTACAC